AACCCCCCTGCACTCCCCCCACTCACCATCATGGACAGCACTGTGGCTGCAGTGGAGTCATTCAAGTTCATGGGAACCACCATCTCTCAATACCTGAAGTGGGACACTAACATTGACTCCATCATGAAAAAGGCTCAGCAGAGGTTGTACTTCCTTCGTCAACTGAAAAAGTTCCACCTGCCACAGGTGCAGATGACACAAGTTTTATTTATTTAGCTGTTATTGAGTCGGTTATGTGCTCTTCTATAACTGTCTGGTTTGGGTCAGCCTGCAAATCAGATATAAGAAGACTGCAACGGACTGTTAGGACAGCAGAAAGGATCATTGGTGTGCACCTGCCCGACCTTCAGGACTTGTACAACTCCAGAGTGAAGAAGGAAATGCAGGAAAGTGATCCAGCCTAAACAGCTAACGCAGGAATTATTACCTGTGTTCTGTAATTCATGCCTGTAATTCATTCTCCATCTCTAATTATGGCCTCTCTGTCACATACTATGTAAATACATATGCACATTTTCTATACAGCTGTATAGAGTAAATAATGCACAAATCTTTACATAAATCTTCTGTTCCAGATTCATACACATTATTTATTAAGTCTTATTTAAATGTTTCTGTTCTCATGTCAGATATGTATGTATGTATGTATGTGTGTATGCATGTATGTACCAAGAGCTTCTTAAAAAAAACACACAAACAACAAATTCCTCATGTGTTTGCGCACACTTGGCGAATAATGCTGATTCTGATTCTGATTTATTCATTTATTTATTTGGCTAAGAAATCTAATACACTGCTGGACAATTACCAATAATTTGTATTCTGGAATATTTTTTTTCCTATATTTTCCTAATGCAATTTTATGATTTGTTCATATACTACACTTTTTTCATTTTTATTTTTATCACAGAATAAGGCAGAAAATATATTTGATAGTTTCTATAGGCTACTGTAATAAATGCTGTCAGTAATGCTGTCAAATACATTGTTTATTACCTGGAGATGACTTGAAAAACACACCGTGTATAATCCATGTATTTGTAGCGATCGTGCATGTATTGTCTGCACAATCTTTTTAATTCAGCTTAGCCACAGTGATAGTTGGATGCCTTTGTCCATATTAGGGATTTCCTGCACGTCACAAGTTGTTACTTCTATGACTCAGTTTTGGACTTTCTACACGAGAGCACCCTCTGACTTCGAGTATGAATAAAACATACTTCATGAGAGTGTTCAGTGCTGTGTAATGTTCACATCGCCTCATTTTGGATACGAACAAAAAGTCATTCATAGACTATCTTTTCTCTTTGAATTTAAATCTAGATTTATTCATAGTGGCCCCTGAAAACCTCAACGTGAACACACTTGCCTTGCACTTGCCCACGTATTCTACGCCCATGCTTTCATGTCATTCACCGATCAGTTTGCGAAGTGCTGCTTCAAGTCAAACACAAACCTAAACTGTATGCGTATTTGCATCGCTTTGACCGTTCTCTGTAGATCCCACCTTCTCAAGTGCCACAATTAGTCGATTATGTACAATGCCTTCATATTATTAGTCAAACTACTTTTCGATCATTACCTTCTGCAAGTATGAAACCAGGAAAACAAAGCTGAAACCTGGATATTTTAGGCAATATAGAAATCCTGGCCAGGACGTGTCCCGTAAAAATGGCATGTATGGTCACCCTATTCCAAACCCTGAGAGGGAGCCGAGGATCTAGCGTGAGAAGACCAAGATAAGGACGAGCCCATCTCATATCCCTCTGCTCCCTCCATCTCGGATAATAATAATAATAATAATAATAATAATCTTTATTTTCTATAGAGCCTTTAAATGTTGCATCTCAAAGCACGTTACATAAAACAAATAAAACATCAAAATACACCATATAAAGATTATAAAATAAGCAAAAAAAGGAAACGTGCATTCAAAACACTTAAAAATAAAATAATATAAAATTAATATAAAAAGAATATTAGAAATTAGTTTTAAGGTGGGATTTAAAAATGTTAAGATATTTTGCTTGCCTTATTTCAATAAATAAGGAGTTCCATCGTTTTGGAGCTACAGAAGAAAAAGCCCTATCACCCATCAATTTTAAGCGGGTTGATGGAACAGTTAACAAACCAGTATCAGAAGAGCGAAGGTCATGCATTGGGGTATAGGGAGTTAAAAGCTCTGACAAATAAATAAAGCTCTGACCTAAATCCACCCATGGTAACAAACTGCGTGAGGTAGGACTTAAACCAATTAAGTACAGTATCAGAGACCCCAAAAAGAGTTTCAAAACAAGTAATTAAAAGAGAACGATCTACAGTGTCAAAAGCGGCACTGAGATCAAGAAGTATCAAAATTGAAAGACAGCCAGAATCTGAGGCAATTAGAAGATCATTAGTGACCCTGACCAATGTTGTTTCAACGCAATGGAATTTACGGGCGCTAGACTGTAAAGGCTCAAAAAGGTTGTTTTCAGTTAAATGAGAAATTAACTGAGCAGCAACAACTCGCTCCAAAATTTTAGCAAGAAAAGGGAGATTGGAAATAGGACAAAACATTTTAAGGTTTTCATAATCAGTGTTTGGTTTTTTGGTATTGGGGTAACCGCAGCTATTTTAAAAGCTGCTGGCACAACACCAGTACACAAATGGTGCTTTTCCACTGCATGGTACGGCACGGTACGGTTCACTTTGGGGGGGTTTTCCATTGGGTACAGTACCTGGTACCTGGTACTTTTTTTAGTACCACCTCGGTTGGGGTTCCAAGTGAACCGTACCATTACCAAAACGTGACGTGTAAACTGCTGATCACGGATTGGCCGGAGAGAATCGTCACTACCTGCGTCACTGAACTTGTGACATAAACACAAAAGAACCGCTAAATTTAAATCAGCACAGCCAGCGAAGGATCGAACGCAACTGTTTTGAACAAGCGCACCTTTTTTTTTAACAACCAAAAAGTTGTTGTCTGTTGCGGAAGAACAGACGTTCCTCTCGTTGATAGCAGAGGAGCGGATCCAGCGAGAGCTTGATGGGGCGACGCGGAATTCAAAGTTTTTTTCAGGAGTCATGGTAGTAGAGGCGGTGCAACTATAACGACATGTGAATAATCCCGCCCACTCTAAAGCGGTACTGAATTGCAGTGGAAACGCAAACCGTGCCGAGCCGAACCATGCCGTGCTGTACTGAGCCGTGCCGAGCCGAGTCGTACCACGCAGTGGAAAAGTGCCAAAAGAGTCCTTTATAATACTGAAGACAACAGGACACAAAGAAACAAAACATGATCGAAATAAACTAGTGGGTATTGGATCAAGTAAGGAAGTGGCTGCTTTTTATTGAGAAACCTACTTTTAAAGGGAATACGAATCAAGTGTGCAAAAATTTGAAAAAGTAATACCAGTGTAAAATGGATTATTTACCAAAGAAGAACACGATAAGTTAGAGGCAGAAATACATTTGCGTACATTATCATAAGCAGGGAAGAGGAGAGGCAGAATCAAAATGCAAGCAGTACATTTTTATTAAAACAAGGTAATTCAGAACATGAAATGGTAAACAGAACACAGGCAGAACAAGGCAAAGGAACTACACGCAACAACATCTCAAAGACAACAACTACCAAGACTGACTAAAACACTGGGCTATACACAGAGACACTAACAACATAACACGGAAACAAGACACACCTGGGAATGCAACCAATGAAACAAAAGGACTTTAAGTTGACTTAAAAATAGCACTCTAGACAGAAAGTAACACATTTCAAACAAGTCCAAACACAAGACGGGAACACAGGCTAAGATCATAACACTCGTGCGTCAGAGAGCAGAAAAGTAATAAGAGTGCTCTCAAATTTGATTTTCATATATGACTTTTCATGGAATTCACAGAAATCCAGGTTCTGTTCTGTGCATTTAGAAAGATCAGAACATTTGGGGTGTTCTATAGTGATTCTATTTTGGAAGGATGAGACAGCAGTTCTATTTAATATTGCTGCTGTCTAGGAGACAATTTAGATATCAAAGAGGTTTCTTATGTGATGTGTTGTTTCTTACAGGACTTTGCATTTACTTTTAACATTTTCTATTTCTGTTTCTTTCACCTTTTGTTTTAGTTGCTTTCTCTGGTCTGGGCTTTACTTCATTCTACTTGGCAGGCAAGTTGCAGTGCTTCACAGCTGCCGGACGCGGGCGCAGCTGGCGTCTCTGTGCCATGATCCTGCCCCTCTACAGTGCAATGATGATTGCCCTGTCCCGCACCTGCGACTACAAACATCACTGGCAAGGTCAGAGGTTTGCAGCAGTGTTCCACAAAAGCATGCAGAGACTGTATTCTGAAATATCTGGATTTCTGCATTAATTCCTCATAAAATTTGTTTTTCATCTAAGTCACAGTTAAAGACAAACTGTGACTAGTGCTGGCAAAATGAGTCACAATTAGCAAATTTTCAAAAATTTGTTATTTTTAATTTCACATTCTCCATTAAAAGACCTTCAAAATTAATGATTTCTTGGAATTGGACGAAAAATTACTGAGTCGTTTGAAGTCGACAGAGTCAGCAAACTCAATTCTGAGAAAAATCGAATTAAAGTTTTCTGAAGGTTCCAAAGCAAAATCACCTAGCAACATTGCATTTTTCCTCCAGTTCTTTTCTTAATAATAATTACTATATTAATAATCACAATATAGATTTTTGTATTTTATCTTTGTAATTATAAAAAAGAACATATGCAAAAAAAAGCAGTAGAACAAACATAAGAAAAAACAAACAAATGCATTACCTTTTTCACTTTACATCTAAGCAAAAGCATTCAAGTAAGAAAAAACAAATAATCAAATGTAAAACTCACTTCAGTGTGTTCATTACAAATAAATTGATTATTAAAACTACAGTGCCTTGTGAAATTATTCAAACCCCTTCATTTTTTTCACGTTTTGTTATGAAGTAGCCTTATGTTAAACTGCTTTAAATTACTTTTTTCCACATCAATCTACACTCCATACACCATATAAATAAATTAATAATAATAAATAAATTAAATAAATAATGAATATGAATAAATAAATGAAAAATGTAAAAAATTCTGTGGACAGTTGAGACAAAACTTTCTGGCAAAAATGAGAGAGATTTGTTTATAGAAAAAAAGTTTGTGTGTTATTAATTTAGTCAGAACTTATGTAGGCCGCAGACAGCAAGGCAGCTCCCTATTAGAACAAAGCTATTGTAAAATAAAAGCTATTGTAAAATAGCCTTGTACTAATTTGGACAGTTTTTAATATAGCCTTGTGCTGATATCATCAATGTAATTAACTTTTTCCAGGGATTTAACAGGGTCAAGACCTGTAGAGCATAATACTGAGTATGAATGGTTTGCTGGAGTTACTACATCTTTGTAATAAAGCATCAGCAATTGTTTGCCAGCTTTAACATAATCTTTACAGCTCACTAGCCTGATTTTTCCTTCCACAAAGTTATCAATCATGCCTGTGTTTCATCCAGAATCACCTTGGTGCACAGCCAAACTGTCACCATCAATAACAGCCTCAGACAGGATGGGAATCCACATGATCCATCCACTGAAAAGTCTGAATCTACAAAGGAGGCATGACATTATATGATGGAAAGAGTGTATACACACAACATGGCCAATTGACCCTTTGCAATAACCTGCCCTCCTTAGTTACTGTTGCTATGTGCGACAAGCCATGTTGCTCTCACACTACGCATCATGTTCTTACACAGTGAAAAATACATCGTAGAGCAAAGAGGAAACTGACAACACACAGACAGACAAGACAGAGCAGGTAACTTCTCGTATGAAACAAAGTCTCAGCTTTCAAATTTGGTCATTTTTTAAGATATTTAAACAAATACCTTTTGTGGCTCTTTAATGTGTCATGACAAATCACTGTATTGCTGCATTGTTCAAGCAGCACCTGAACCTGATTTACTAGTTAAAGCACAAAATAAACATGAATGAACATCAGAATTTGTTTTGGGGCAGTCATGGGCTATGGCCTAATGGTTAGAGAGTCAGACTTGTAACCCAAAGGTTGTGGGTTTGAGTCTCAGGTCCAGCAGGGATTGTAGGTGGAGGGAGTGAATGTCCAGTGCTCTCTTCTGCCCTCAATACCACGACTGAGGTGAGACCCTGTCTCAGGTCCAGCAGGAATTGTCAGTGGGTAGAGTGAATAACCAGTGCTCTCTCCCACCCTCAATACCACGAATGAGGTGAGACCCTTGAGCAAGGCACTGAACCCCCAGCTGCTCCTTGGTTGTCGCACCAATATGGCTGTCCACTGCTCTGGGTGTGTGTGTTTGTTCACTACTCACTGCTGTGTGTATGCACTTAGATAGGATAAATGCAGAGCACAAATTCTGAGTATGGGACACCATTCTTGGCCTCACTTCACTTTCATTTAAACCACGGAAAGACATGAATACACACAGTGTTCAAGTTTAAGCAGAGGCGGACAAAGTACTCAACTCCATTATTTGAGTGAAAGTACAGATACTGCTGGTCAAACATTACTCCACACAGACAAAACATGGAACAGAGTCTGACAACAAGAGTGATTACTGATAAACTGTCTGAAAAAAGAAAGTCATGTTTTAGAGAAGAAAAAAAATCACCTACTGACTTTCAAAGCTGCTACATGGTAATGGCTTTCTACTTCGAGGACCTTGATAGAAATGTAGTGGAGTGAAAAGTACAATATTTGTCTTTCAAATGTAGTGAAGTTAAAGTCATAAGTTCCCAGAAAAAATAATACTCAAGTAAAGTACAGATACTCAAAAAGTGTACTTAAGTACAATACTCAAGTAAATGTACTTAGTTACTGTCCGCCTCTGAGTTTAAGTCCACCAAAGTTAATCTACTCTCCTGTCTGATTTGTTTGTCAGACAAAATGGTGGATTCAGCACTATGATTTTTTCTCTCCATTTGGTTTATGCTATATTCTGGGCCATAACTTTCATAGACATTAAGGGGATGTATCCCTAATATTCAGATTAGTGGTGAGTCAATATAGGCTTGTCCATGACCATTTGTTCAAGTTTTACCTTTGGTCCCCACAATCTTGAATGTTTACTAGCATTTTTAGCCTAATCTCACCATGTTCACACACATGCAGAGTTGTTTACCTACAAATTAAAGTTCTGTAATTTAGGGAAGAAATAAACATAATGGAAGTACACTAACTCAGACAAGATGTTTAGGCAACATACTGCAAGTGTGATGCCACAAAAATAAAATGTGTTATTATTCAAACATATTGCAATGTTCAACTTTATTCATTATTCAAACATATCAATATATATCCATAAACATATCAAAATTTTTACTAAATTTAATTTGTTTAGCAAGATTCTATTTCAGGTTCCTCAAATCTGCATAGTTTAGCTCAAACTCTGATCAATCTTATCTACCTGTGATTTTCTAGTGATCCTGAAGACCTTGCTTAGCTTGCTCAGGCATGTTTGATCAGAGTTGGAGCCAAAACCTGCGGGGCACTGGCCCTTCAGAACTGGATTTAAGGAATCCAGTTCTATTTAAACTTTTGCTTTGCCATGATATGAAAGAAAAAAAACTGACCATAGCAGAAGACACTATACGCTAATTGTGTATGTTTGGGCCTTTCACAGCCTCAAGCTGTGCCCATATGAAATGCAGGCCTTTCACAGCATCATGTTGTGCCCATATGAAATGTAGGTCACCACATACACTGACAATCTTTTCATCCGCCACAACTCTTAAATCTCATTCGCACTCATACTGTATAAATGTGGTCCTTAAATCATCAATGGATTTTGAGTGTTTCATCACTGATATTAAATAAGGTGAGACACTGTTTCTCACACAAAGCTATTATATGACTTTAGAATACCTCAATATATGTACAAGTTATATAAAGTAATTTTTGAGGACTTTTTGTCATCTTTGGAGCTTTGAACAAAAACACTGCGACTCACAAGACAAAAAACACGAAAACACCTTTCTGTCGGGAGAGAGAGAAGCCGCAGCGTGTGAACGCGCCGCCATCCTATTCTATTTTATTGTGGACAAAAGCAGCTTGAAAATTGTGAGTGTGAGCAGTGTATTTCTTTTTGTGTTCCACAGACGAATTAAAGTATTTTTTTATGTCTGCCTATAACTATTCCTGTTCAGGAATTATGCATTTTCAGAGACTACTGTTTGAATATAGTATGGCATTTTGAAAAGCTACTATTTACTATTTATATCATTATTTATGTTGTCTTTGTGAATTTCTGACTTTAAACTACAGAGAGAATAAAAAAGTGAAATCCCTGAAATGAATGACAGCACAAATTAGAGTTTTCCAGCATATAAGCAGCTGGCACTCTTAATTATCTCCTGAAAAGTGTGCATGTCCTAGATTGTGTTACTAAACTATAAATATGCATAGTAACACTTAATTTGGATATATATATATATATTAATTTATTTCCTTGTCACTTTGCAGAAGGACACCTTATATCAGACAACGGCAAGCAGATACTTATTAGTGTGACTTTATATGGACCTGTCCCCTGAGGCCTGCTGGGTAGTAGAACTGAACTAATCTGAACAACAGTGGCATGGACCATTAAACTTGATGGGTCCAATCTGGTCCAAGTAAATACAAGCTGTGGACTCGTACAAGCTTGCCCTGTAGCATGCTGATCTAATGAGTGTGGGTTTGTTCCAGGGGTAATTTATCAGTCTATACTCAAAATTATGTTTCAGTCATTTAATTTTATTTTAGACCTCACATTTTGGGAATGAAATAGCTTTGAGGTTTGGTTGTACAGCTGTGTGTCAGTGTGCAGTCCAGCTCTTTTAACAACCCTCACAATGGTGGTGCTTAATTTCTTCCTCTCAGGGTAGCATTAAATGGCAGAAGCCATTAGGTGAATCGTATTTGTTTAAGAATGCTATGTCAGTACCAAAACATTATCTTCTTTGGGCACTAAAAGACACAGTTCAGTAGAGCCACATTTAGATATAGCATAGCCTTAGGAAAAATTATGCCTTTGTCTCCTATAAACCTTTGTTTGCTGTAAAATACAATCTATCCTCTTTGTGGGTTAATTGAATTATTCACGGGAATAACAACAATAACAGAATGAAAACATAATATTATATTAAAGACAGACAGTTACAAAGCTATATGGATGAATGGATCGATGGACCAAAGTTCTACTTTCACTAAGACTATGTTTTACTTAGTGAACTTTGATTTGTTCCTCACAGATGCTTTTGTTGGGGGATTGATCGGCCTCTTCTTTGCCTACATCTGTTATCGGCAGCACTACCCACCCATCCTGGATGTAGACTGCCACCTGCCATATGCTAGTCTGGCTGCAGCAACTGCCCACAACATGCCAACCTCCCAGGATCAACCTCTGCCCATGGATAATGCCACCAGCCTGCCTCTGGAGGGCATGACTGAGGGACCAGTATGACTAATAGAGACCCCCCAAGGCTCACACCCCTCTGACCCCCTACCACACCAATGTGGTATGAACCACACTTGACTGACACTTCAACATTCCAATGAATTAGACATTTAGAATTAGATACATTTTGTTTACTTTTTTCTCTCTCTCTCTTTCAATCATTAAGCAGAGTTACAGTTCCTGATTTCTGATCAGTTATACCTAGTTTAATTACTGAATATCAGTATTGGCAAGTTGGAACCTTGGACAATATGTATAAAATTTGTTAGTGCAAGAATCTCTCTTTAAAGAAAAGTACCATGGTAAGTAATAGTGAGAACCATGGTACACAGAAGTTATAATTATTCAGTGCCATTATATATACTGAGGTACCTCTTCTATAAGACGTTTTTGTATAGATTTGCTATTACCCAAATTGCAGTGAGAGAAGTTGATCTTAGATGGAAATTCTTATTCTAAGAGGTTTCACTCATAAATATGTAAATCTTGAATTGAAATCCTAAATCAATTCATTATTTGTTTCCTTTATATGGTTTTGTGTTGATTCATTAGCATGTGTGCATGCATGTTAACAGTTAGTGTGGAACATTGTTGCTTTTCCACATATTGCATACCAGGCACAGAGGAATTAGAATGGCAGAACAGAATCACTGGCAATAAATACCAAGGCATTATAATACTTTTTATGATCAAATCATGGGTTTTGGACACTGAAAGTTTCTTAATGACTCTGGTAATTATTCAGTGCCCATCTACCAAATTAACATCTTATTCCTAATTTAACCCTCTGGTATAGTTTCCATGATTTTAGACCAAAAAAAAAACGTTTGAAAATTTAAAAAATCTCTACTTCATTGGAATGGACCGCCATAGGAAATGAATGGGAAATAGGCAAAAATACAAAAATACAGAGATGTTTTTGTGTGTGCAATCTACAAATCAGACACTATGTAGAAAAAAAAAGTGTGTAGCAATGAAGTGTGTAGCAATGAAGGGGTGACAAAACTTAAGCAGTTATGCCAGAAAACACTACTCAGTATCGAAGGAATACACAGCACTGAATATACAGTGCCTTGCCAAAGTATTCATACCCCTTAATTTTTTTCACGAAGGGTATGAATACCCCCTATGAATATTTTTTCACGAATGTATTCATACCCCTTCATTTTTTCAAAACACTGCTCAGTAACTAAGGAATACACAACACTGAATGCACAAAAGTATTCACACCCCTCCATTTTTTCCACGTTTTGTTATGTTGCTGCCTTATGTTAAACTGCTTTAAATTACTTTTTTTTTTACATCAATCTACACTCCATACACAGGGGTTTTCAAACTGTGGGTCGCAAAAAGTCACTTGGCTGCAGCTAAATTTGTGTTTCAATGACACACACACTCACACAGTTCAGTCTAGGGCTGCACAATATACCAACATTAATTACGATATTGCTTAGTGTGATTTTCAATTCGCAAATGCCGCGATTTAAAACATGCATTGCGTGTTTTGAAGAGCAGGCGCGCACGAGTTGTAACAATAGTGAGGGTCTCAGAGTGACGGTTCATTATTAAAAGACTCGATCAGCATTATTAATTCTGCATTGAAACTTCACTGCATTGTATTCTGCATGAGATTGCAAACACCAGGAAAATTCAAATGTTATGAAAACTGTTTCAGGTATGTTCATTCATTTCTATCGTCTGTTTGAACTCGGCGCTGTATCTTTCCAAGAAATATAGAGTTTGTTGTTTTCGTTCCTTAATATACATTTGGCTACTTATCAATAAGGAAACTGTATGTAAAAAGCTAAAAGTTCAAAAAGTAAAAAAAAAAATAATAATCAAAATGTTAAAAGTTCAAAAATCTTTTGAAGATATTCGCTGAACATTTATTTAACCATTGCAAAAGTAAATTTCTGGCTGAAGTAAATTTCGGTGTTTAGTGTTTATTTAAATTGAGACACGTCTGTTGATTATTTTTACAATTATTTCACACTTATTTTAATCTCCAAACTGTTTTAGATAGTTCTGCTTCGCCTTTTATGCTTTGCTAAAAATAAGTGTTGGGTTGTGCTTTGCTCTCCCGAGAGCATTTTCTGCACTGAACCCCGCGATGAGTTTAACAACACTCGCAGCGCAGATTACAGTTCATATCCCATCGGAGTGAGCATGCTTGGAGTTTTTATGGATTTATTTCATAGTCTCATTAACATCTGTAAATGAAGAAATAAAATGGTAAATATTAGTAGTGAAATTTTACAGTTGTACTATAAAATAAAATGGCTAATTTTCTTAAATACTTAATTTCTGCCATATTACATTTTTAATTAAGATTAAGCTTACATTAAAGGTACTGTGTGTAGGATTGACACCTAGTGGTTGAACTAAGTATTGCAGTCCAAATTCAAAATATTGGAGAGGGTTTTTTTCGCCCGGTCCCTCCTCCTCATACTTGACGCACATGCAGGTTGCCAGATTGACGACACCAACAGGAACGAGGCACCTGACGATAGAAAGCCTTGAGCCTTAAGCCCCGTTCACACCAAGAACGATAACTATAAAGATAACGATATTAGCGTCCACACCAGCGGACGATATCGTCTGTTCATTCTAAGCGCACGCTCCTCTGCCGCTTTAAATTCTCGAGCTCGTTAAGCCCCGTTCACACCAAGAACGATAACTATAAAGATATAGTTATAAAAATCGTTCTCAGTATTAAAGAATAGCAGAGTCCACACCACAACTATAACGATAAAGACAAAGAGAAACGATATCGTTGGAATCACTTCAAAATGATATTTCTCCAGTTGATGAACGATAAAAAATTGACAGCCAATCAGAATCCATCCTGCTGTAACGAGCTCAAGAATTTAAAACCGGCAGACGTGCGTACGCTTAGAATAAAGAGACAATATCGTTCGCTGGTGTGGAATATCGTTATACTAATATAGCTAATATCGTTATCATTATAGTTATCGTTCTTGGTGTGAACGGGGCTTTACAGCAGGAAAGTGACTCCAACGATATTGTTTCTCTTTGTCTTTATCGTTATAATTGTGGTGTGGACTGCTATTTATTAATATTCAGAACGATTTTTAGAACTATATCTTTATCATTATCTTTATAGTTATCGTCCTTGGTGTGAACGGGCCTTTACACTGTAAGTAAGTTGATCAGCTAATGTGTACGTTTGCAATATTTGTATTATTTGCAAATTATAAACCACCTCGTGTATTTTTATAAATCTGAATCTGCATCTCATTTCAGAAGCTGCTGCTGCGTCCTCCGGAGGTCGCATTTGTTTGCCACATTCATTGAGGCGGCCCAGTTGTAAACATAATCAAGTAGACTGTTATTCATTGTGAGGTGTAAAATATAGGGCTGTCGCGATTTGTCGATTTTATTTGACTATTCGACTTTTAAAAATCCTCGACTTCATTTTGCTTGTGTCGACTAACCGGCAAAATACCGGAAGTGGCACATTTCACAGATGAGAATGTATAAAACACATTATTAGTCTGTTTTCCAAGGCTGCATAATTAAGCATAATTGTGAATTCACAAACGCTACGATTCAATTAAATAATTATATGCGTTGCAGTTCTAATACAGTATATGCGCTTTAATTATTTACATGCGTGTAGGTTAAGTACATGCGTCACAGCGGCTCCGTTCACAGTAGTTCCACAGGAACTGTTATCATTTACATGTGTGGAGCATCTCAAACTCCATCTCTGCATGTTGTTGTGAGTTTGGGTTTATTATAACGTTAATCTGGGAATGCTACATGTGCCATTTCATCAGATTTGTAAGGTAAAT